GACTGATCAAAATTACCTGTACCACCATTAGGGGTTTAACAGGGCTTAGTAGAGCTATAAACAGGACATTAAATATTAAAACAGGACCATCCAGGCACACAAACAGTAAACTAGCCACCATACCGCTTTAAAATAACTCAAGAAAGAAAGATGATTAACTACTACAGATTAAAATTTCTTCTCTAAAGACTGGTGAGATCTACCAGCCACTCTGACATATAACACTTCATTACAAATTCTGTAGTATAAAATAAAACACATGTTATCTATATGTACAAAAGAATAAATTAACAATATAAATATGAACATTTTAGTTTTCAATATAACAGACAGAATATCTTGAACTCATTCAATATACAATATTTCATTTACAGACATATATCTTATGAAATTTGACAATTTTAATTTAGACACTACATTTTTATATAAATTACTTAAGGTATTAAATTTAACAATATTAAGGATAGATCTTTGTACAATATTTTTCACAGTGGAACAACTAAATAATAGGTGCTCTACATTAGTATTTCTTATACCACAAGCACAATTTTTAATCGAGAACCTTTCATAATAAGATGGAAAATGTCCTTGAGTCAAAGCTTAATTAAGATACTTATTGATACACCTTCTTTCACTTACTATTGAAATTAAATTGTAAGTGAACCTTCCCTTGGAACAAAGGTCATTCCACCTTGCCTGCCACGAAGGGATTTCAGGCAATCAAAAGAGGTTTTTAAATCAAAATGTATAATCTGAATTTCACTTGCGAACTACCAGTCTATTGGCTAGTTCATTAGCGACTGCTAATACGGCTCTTCATTCAAAAGAGTTTAACATCTCTAAAGGAGCCAAGAAAGATGAGCATGTCCTTTATCTGTGTTATAAGATAGTTACTAAAATGGAAGTCTGTAAGTGAAATAAAAGTACTCTGATAATCACTATAGATCTCTACAGGATCTTGTGTGAAATTTGAAATGAGCCAGTACGGAGCCTCTCCCATAAAGCTACTAACTTTGCCCGATAAACAGATCCATTATCAGATAACCCATACTTAATTTGTGACATAAAAATGCGCAAATAGCTGCCCCCCATGGCCATTTAATTTAGGACCGTCTGTAAAAACAGTATAACTTGATATATTCGGGAAGCCCTTATACCAATTCAGTTTCAATAGAAAGTGAAAGAAGCTGTATGAGCAACAAGTATCAATCAAGCTTCGACTCATCATGGACATTTTCCATCTTATTATGAAAGGTTCTCGATTAAAATTTGTACTTGTCCTTGTTGGCTGTTCTCCTGTTTATGGGCCTGGATGGTCCCGTTTTATTTACTGTCTTATATAAGATAAGGCCGAGTGATAATCTGATACTTTATCTAGCTCAATACCTCTAGCAGAGAAAACACCAATGAAGCAATCAACAGTATCATTGCCTGCTTTTAATTGGTAAATATTACATTCTTTTTCAGCCAAAATATCAATCAGAATACATCAAGCCAAAATCTGAAGAGCTGCTCTCGAAACAGTTCTAAAACACTTAGTAATTTCTAAAAGAGCAATTCTTTGAATTTGTAATACACTGCTCGACATTGAAAATGCAACACCAAGACGGAGGGGTCAGAAAGTGATAAAATTAAGAAAAACGACAGAGACAGCAAGCAGCAATACATGATCTTTATTTCAAAATGATAGTCAGAATGCAGAGTGAGAACGGCATCGGCTCAATAGGATGTAGGACCACCACAGACAGCGATGCACGAAGAAACGTGTCTAGGCATAGAGTCAATAAGAGTGCGGATTGTGTCCTGATGGATGGCTCTCCATTTCCTTTCAACCATTTGCCACAGTTCGTCTTTTGAACGAGGCAGGAGCAGAGTCTGCAAACGGCGTCCAATCACATCCCACACATGTTCGATTGGTGACAGGTCAGGAGAGTATGGTGGCATCTGTATACCTTGCAGAGCATGTTGGCAGATGCGAGCACTGTGTGGTTGGGCGTTATCCTGCTGAAAAATTGCATTAGGCAGCCCCTGAAGGTAGAGGATTGCCAGCGGCCGCCTTACATTATTCAAGTATGGGCCGTCACAGCGCCCTGAATACGAACTAGAGGTGACCTGGAATCATAGGCAATAGCGCTCCAAACCATTATGCCATGTTGTCGCGCAGTGGGGCGTTCCACAGTTACTGCCAGATTAGATCTGTCTCCATGTTGATGCCACTCACGTATGCGGCGACTGTCACTGGATAAACAGAAGCGTGAATCATCTGAGAACATGACGTTTCGCCATTCTGTCATCCACATCACTCCAGTCCGGCAGCATTCTAAATGCTGGCGTCTATGCTGTGGGGTCAACTGCAGTCTTCTTAACAGATGCCGCGAGTGCAGGCCACGTTCAACCAATCGATGGGAAATGGTTCTGGTCAACACAGGAACATCCAGGGTATCTTGCACATGCTGCAGAATCGCGGTACAAGTGACTTGTAGGACCGCCACAGCTTGTCGGCGGATGCATTGATCCAAGCGTGCTGACGTCTCTCTGGCTGCACCTGCACCCCTTCTTCTTTCCACACTTCCTTGTTCCAACCATGTTCGCCATAGCCGATGTACAGTGCTCGCATCCATGTGGGTATCAGCTGCGACTTGACATAAGGACCAACCCACCCTTCTCAGTCCGATCACCATACCCCTCGTAAAATCGTCTATCTGCTGAAGTGCCTTTGTTGACGGCGGCCAGGCATTCTCTCCTATTACACATATCCTCCGCGACAAAAACCAACTTTCTTCGTTAATTTGTCTGGCAGAAATAATGACATGAATATTGCACATTCTGCATGTTCCTTTCCTTATATCTTATTTCACGTGCGTCTTTACATCATATGCATAACTCAGTGACGTGCGTCTATTCTAAAATTTGCATAAATTTCTGACCACTCCTTCTTGGTGTTGCATTTTTAATGTCGAGCAGTGTATTTTCATGCGCATTTGAACCAAACCAGTCCACCATGAGCCTCATGCATATAGAATCTTTCTCTCAATAGCTCTCTTATGTATACTCTTAAGTACATTACCATGGAGATTCATTTTACAGAGTCTGTTAAGAATGTAAAAACGCTCAGTCTTTATTTCATCCTAGTGCAGTTATAAAAGTAAGCTTTTCGTCAATTGATATTAACTCCCAGATATTTAATGTCTTAGAAACCTTGACTGATTGATCATACAATTCACACCTAGAGTACATTGATCTAGTATTAATTTTTGCAATACCCCCCCCCCCCAAAAAAAAAAAAAAATTTTTTTCTTTGGATCGAACTTACACTTAACTTGCACAGACCACTTCTCTAACTCTTGAGTGGCACAACTTAATGCACTGGCTATATGATGATGGCAAATGGTATGACAACCATTTGCCGTGGTCAATAAAACAAAGTCATCAGCATAAGTTTGTATACCAACATTTTGTGGTAGTGTAACATTTAATGCTATATTCACAATGATATTCCATGTAAGTGGATCAGATATCGATCCTTGGGGACAACCCCTTTGATAATTTCTATGATACCACTTGTTGCCATCATATAAAGAGACTTTCCTATCATTCAAAAAATCACATATCAATAAAAAGCTATTTCATGTCTTTTAATTCTTTTAGTAGAATCAATCACCAAACGTTACCAAAAGCCCTTTTCAAATCTAAAGATAAAATTGTAGTATGTTTATTTTCCCTTCTATTTCGAAGAGTTTCAGATATTAAATTCTCTGTAACCTGGGTAATACTTTTACCCGGCATAAAACCATTCTGATTCTTGTTTAAAAGATTATTTGTTAATAAATAATATGATCTTTGTGTCATAAGCTTATCCAGCACCTTGCCCCAAAAAGGCAATAAAAATACATTGGGATATGCAAAATGTTTATGAGAGTGCGAATTAAGTTCACTATTCATATTTATTCTAAAATCTACAATCAATTATGTTTCATGCAAGAAATTCCTATGATATGCAAGTGGAACACAAAATTCTCAAACCAGTAAAAACAGCATCTAAATATGAAATGGATTATTCAGTTTTCTCAAAGCATTTGAGGACTTTAGCATAAAAGTACTTCTGAGGAAGTCTTTCAAAGAGAAGATAATTCATAATTTTATAACAACATAGGAAAAATAAAAACCTCATGCAGCCAGCCCATTCAGCTACCTAGGAAGAGAAGGTATGATGCACTTTAAGCACGCTGTCTTTGTACCCATACAATAGAAATATTTTATTGAATTACCTCAAAAGAATTTCTATGATAGTTAACCCCTTGACATACAAATAAAATATGCATCCTAAGAATACCATTTAATTTGGACACTCAAGTGCAAGCTTAAAAACAGAACATTTTATTTTTAAATTTACATTGCTATATAACAATAATAATATACAGTGCAGCGTTCACCAAAGATAGTTTCTTGATGTCTCAGAGAAGTCTACAATAACACGTCATTGTATGTCAAGTGGTTCATATGCAGTTAACATAATTACTATTTCTCAAGATGAACTTTTCAAAGTGTTCCAAATCTATGATGGGCAGTTTGCATTAAAACAAATTGTATTTTCATTCCCACAAATAACTTGTTGATCAGTTCTATACTGTTTTTATAGCACTTACCAACATGATGTATCAAAGTACTAATGAAAAACAAGTAATGATGTCATTTCATTAAGTGCTATTTCAGAAAAATAAATGCTTTCTCATATTTTTGTATTTAGCAAAGTTTTGTATATCATAAAAAGTATGATGGACATAAAAGCTATTAATAATCAGCTGTTGAGTGTTCACACATTTTAAGGTACTTATAACAGCAAAGAGTAACTTCAGCAACTGTAACGGCTAGTAGCCAACTAGCTACTAGCTAATCAGCAACTTTAACAGCTAGTATATAGAAACAATTACCCAGAAAATAATTTTAAAATGATATAACTATACACAACAAAACAAAAAAAGAAGAAGAAGTAAGTTTACCTCTATGAAAGATGGATGATCATTTGGAGCAGGGACCCTTCTAAAATGTTTGACACCAATCTAGATTTAAAACAAAACTGTAACACTAAATTGCAAAAATACAATGCATTTCTACTAGAATTGAATTACAAATACCTTCAAAAACATTATAGAACTTATAATTATAAATGAACAGTTTATACAAATTCTTAAAATTTTTAGGTACCATAGCATGTATAAGCCAAATTTTAATACCAAATGAGTTTTTTTCCTTCAACTTAGCACTAAAGTATTAGATGGTTATTACTTCCCTATAATATCATATTTACTCACATGTTTCTTCCCCTTGAGTAGTTACACCTGGTATTTTCAGAATGTGATATAGAAACTTTTAGGTATGGTAGCAATGTACTGAATATGAACCAATAGCAAAGTAGCAAAAATGTAATAACTATAATAGTATATAAGTTAAAAAAATACCATTAAAAATAACAACTGTAATTTAAATATAGAATTTAGTAACAATAGTACCTTAACTTTTATATACTTCTTAATTCACTATGTTTTTCATTAATTGCTTTCCCTCAGAAATGTGATTTTCCCTCTTGATTTTTTATATATAAAATTAGTAAAAAAGGGGGGAGTATAGGTGAATAAGTACAATATTTATTGATAGAGAAAATACTTCTAATAGTAATAAAAAAATAATTACAGGAATTGCAAAACTCGTGTAGCACATTATCTAAGTCAAGAACATTTTCAAAAACAAAAAAAATAACTGTACAAAATTAAACATATACAGGGTGTTTATAAAGTCCCGGACCCTTTTTGATGTTTAATAACTCATAAAATAATTAAGATATAAACAAACTTATGGCATTTATTGATGGAATAACTTATATATTTTCCTTTTCAGGTTTGAATATCTTTACTTTTGTAAATATTGTCTGTGCATGTGGTTAATTTCAGATAATTTCATTTTCCAGTCTAAATATCAGTACTTTTCTAAATATCGTCTGCTTATTAATTGCAATGCTCTCTCTTTTGTTTTTGGCATATTTCTGGCATTGTTAATCGCTATAACGTGCGCATATGGGGATCTGAATACTTCCATTAATACCGTGAGGCACAAAGGGATTCCCCAAAGGTTAATGTGTGGTGTGGACTAACACACGACCCAGTCATTGGGCCTTTCTTTTTTACAGAAAAGACGGTCTCATCAGTCGTATACTTAAACATGTTGGAAAACTTCGTATTTTCACAACTAGAAGAGCTTCAGCCACATGTCTTTTTGCAACACGATGGTGCACCACCTCATTGAGGTACTATCGTTTGTAGTTCTTTGAATGACCATTTTACAGGAAGAGGGATTGGGCGAGGAGGTCCAATTTCTTGGCCACTCAGATCACCTGATAGAACTCTCTCCTCCTGTAATGATAGAACTTCCTCCTTAAACGTTGTCCGTAAAGGATTGTAAGGAGGAGTTGTCCGTAAAGGACCTCCTGTAAACCTTAACCTGTAAACCTCCTGTAAACGTTGTCCTTTAGGACAACGTTTACAGGAGGAGAGTGTCGAACATGATGACCTAAATGCCAGAATTACAACCGCGAATAGCCTCTGTGGATGCTGACGTGCTTGCCAGTACCTGGCGTGAAATTGAATATCGACTTGATATTCTCCGTGCGACGAAGGGGCCACACGTGGAAGTTCATTGACAAGGGTTATGAAACTTTTTGAGTCTATCTAACCATTTATGTTATTAATTTTAATCTATCTTTATTATTTTATGAGTTATTAAACATCAAAATGGGTCCGGGAGTTTATAAACACCCTGTATTTCTGTACTGATAATTCAAATGAGATTATCTCTCTAAAGTATGATAAAATAAATACATCACATAAATATCTTTTGTGAAAACACACAATCAGTCTAAATATTGGAATAATTTTTCAAAAATAAATTTTGGAAATGATTTATCAAATAAAGATAATTTTATTTTAAAATGTACCCTAAACACTATGAAAATGCAAGATCTAATTTATATAATCTTTTAAATATGAATATTATAGTCTCCTAAATAATGTACCTTAATTAAAGTTAATGTAACAGCCTACAATTACAGATTTCTTTATTTTGTCATTGTGAAATATTTACACAGCATGATGTTACATTTATTATAGGTTTATGTATATTTAAATCATAAAGACAAACAGTTTATACTACTACATTTCAATTCAATTCAGAAAATTGGAATTCAGTAAATATGAATTTCACTAAAACACAAAGGAAAACATTTCCTCAATAAGCTTGCACATCAAACTGTATGATTAAGCACAAAGATAGTTTTCATAAGAATGGTGGAATAGGGAATGAAAACCACTAAAATTAGAAAGAGGATTGAATGAAATGTATTCCAGCATAATTATCTCATAAAAGTTATGTCTTTCACTTAATGTACTGTTTAACCAGTTGGAACTGAACTGGCCAATATAAAGCCATGGTGACTGCAACTTAAGAGGACAACTATATCCAGTATGCTGGCCATACCTTTTTAGTCCTTTTTAGTTCATTTTTGTTGCTGAAAAAGTGAGCTGAACTCTCAAATTTGTCCCTAGAGACTTTCACACAGCCAGTCAGACATTTCTCCCACGCACTGTCTTTTCCTTCTTGAAGTAACACCTATTAAAGACGAAGCTAGTTGCAAAACAAAGGCAGGTATCTCTTGAAAGTGTGGCAGTTTTAGGTAACAGAAATCCCACCTTTTTAAGTATCATTAAAAGTTATTAAGCATTAACCTACAAAACTAGATTTTCTAAATACAGTTAAACTGAGTTGAGTAGCAATGCACTTTGGATTTGACATTTCCACAGAAAGAAATCTCAACTGTTAATTTGGAAGACTCATCATTTAATACAACCAAACCACAACATAAAACAAGGTTTGGAGAACATCATTTAACAACATTCCTGCTTAGTCATGCGGAGTAAGTATAGCGCCATTCTGCTGAAACTAAAGCCCACATACGGCAAAAATCTTTGAAGTATAATTTTTTAATATACTTCAAAAAATATTTAAACTTTGAATATACTTGAAGATCTAATAATAATATACAAATCTAGTATAAAAAGAATTACAGTCTTTGAATATACATTAAAGGCTATATAGAGACTCTGAATATACTTCACAGTATACATCTTAAAATCATTTAATATATATAAACCCAGAGAAGGGGGAAAAAATTCTGAAAAACATAATTTAAAGAATATTTCTGCTTATTCTTGTAGAGTAAGAATAGCACTGTTCTACTGAAACTAAAAGGTCACATATACCATGAGTCTTTGAAGTTCTCATAAAAAGAACATATCACATATTGTGCAACAGTGAGCCACATACAGGACAACTATTAGCTTATGCTCAATAACTGTAACATTTTATGTTATCGATTTCAGTTTGATTATGCTAACATTGTTGAAAATTTGTGGGAATTAGACCCCTCTTCTTCACACTCTGAAATGGTAGTAATGTATATGAATGAGCATATGATGGTAAATTTCCTTCCATTTTCTTTTGTGTAACTCAAAATTTATTAACATACATAAAAAAATTTTCTGTACTGGAGAAGGTCTGATAAACATAATATCTGTTATCACTGCATGACTCATTTACACTGCTATCATATTTATTTCCGATTCAAAATCAATATTTATGGGCTCAAAGTCGCTGTTTTTAAAGTACAGAAATCATGTGATGTAATGAATGGATTTAGCTTAGTTATTTAGCAAACGAATAAAGCTACTTATATGAATATGATTTAAATAAAATTTGAAACTTAAGCTCTGAGAGGAAGAAATTGTGTGGGGTGGGAGGGGGGAAATAAGTAAATTATGAAAATAGCATTTCTCACAAACTCAAAGCTCAAAAGCAGTGTACTGATGATTGACATTCTTCACCACAGCATAATTCTTTAATATCTGTGACAAAGAGACAGCAGACATTCTATAAGTGGTAAATTACATTTTCAATGCATTATTAATTTTTGGAAAACCATATAAATTTTACATTTTGTTTTTTAGTATTAATTAAAAGAACACATGACTTGTAAAAAACTAATTAAATGAAATTAAATTTTTGCCTTACAACTTGCAATTTACAGCTAAAAAACAATATCATTTACCTTATGAGCTAATTCTTCACCATATTCAATATCTAATTCATGCAACGTTTCTATATGTTCATTCACAAAGGATATAGGAACAAGCAATATGCTTGTCTTGCCTTTTGTCACATAGCCTTTGATAGCATCATCAGTTTTGGGGCTTAACCATGCTACAGGTCCAACCTAAAACATAAACAAACAACAAAAAAACAAAAACAAAAAAAAAAAAAAAGAGAGAGAGAGAAAATGAGAAATGCATTGAAAGGGAAATTTATTTTATGATCCTAACTCAACAGAATGATTTTAAAAAATTTACATAGTTGAAAAGTAAGATACAACCACAATTTAAGGAATACAGTAAAAGTCCAGCAATCCGCAAAGCTTGGGACCAGAGGTTGTGAGGATTTTAGGATTTTGCGAATTTCAGGACAGAAAAGATAAAGCATAACATTCGGACTAAAAGTGCAAAATAAATAAGGTGTGTTAGATACATTTAATTAAATTATTATATACATATTGCAATAATTTATTATATGCATTAAATTATTATTACATATATAAATTGATTATATTATTCATTGTATTATATATACACAGCATCGAGGTTTGCCAATTTCGTCTCGTGCAAAGATTTCTGGTTTCGGATTCCGGTGTTAGAATCACTGTTGCTGTAAAATTTAACACCTTTTCTTTATTTTTCCATATATCATACACAATTGTGTCGCAATTCCATACCAATCTGCTATAAATCAAGGAGTAGCATCTGCCTCCATCTTTTGTAGAATTTGCACTTTTTGCATTACCATCAATGCAACGTGTTTACGTTTTTCAACGTTGCAAGCAGTAAAATCATGAGTGTGTTTCTTATCTGTCATTGTATTAAAAAGGGCTGAAATTCAAAATATTCTTAACTGATCCACAAAATATCCGGAATAAAAAAAAGGCAGCACTACACAGTCTCGTGAAATAACAAAGCTTAGAAAATACAACAACGTGAATTTGAACGAAGAGTTGAGTGAATCGTCTGCTTTTTTGCCTCGATGCAGATTAGAGGGGGAAAACTTCTATCTTATTTTTTTAAACTTTTTTATGTCAATAATTTGGTATTTCCGTTATGACTCATTATTATTTGGTAGTTATGATGTCATTATTCGGTTAAGTATTTTTTCTTCGATATTTCGTACTCAATGTTGCGGTTTCCGGAACCTATAAACTGAATGTTTATATTTTGAGGGGCAACGCGGATTTCAGGAATTGGTGGATTTCAGGTCGGTGGATTTTTGGTATTTGACTGTACTAACAACAACTACATGCAGTTAAAAACACTGGTGACCTCCTCTCACCCCCCCCCAAAATCTGCCCTCCACAAACATAAACAAACAACAAACAACAATGCTTTAAAAATTAAGCTTATTCTTGGATATATTAAACAAAATCCAGCTTTATATTAGCATTAAATTTAAAATTACTGACAGTTTGAGTAGAAACAGTGAAGGAACAGGAGTGTCTCATATACATAGACTCCAGCCTATAGCACAACTTGTCAAAAATCAATGCATGAACAACATTTTTACAACTATAAAAATGTGCTTTGTAATGCATATTTTTTTCTAATTAACCAGTCTACATTTAACATAAATTCCCTAATCATAATCAAATCAAAAAATTAAAAATACTTCTCATAAATTATATACACATTTAGTCAAAAATATTCAGTTTTTCGTTCAAGCAGGAATATCACTAAATCTATTTTTAAGTGAATATTTTAATTCATAAACAATTATATGAAAAGAAAATCAGGATCTATAAACCATAGAACCCATATATGTTTATGAGGTTTTCAAGTTCTGTTTTCTATGGGAAAATTTAAGAAAGAAACATAAAAAATGCAGATAAATTTCAAGTTTATAAGATTGCAATGAGTAAAAATTATTCAGAACTCATTTTAAGCAAACTATAAAAACTTAAAAACAAATCTGCAATCACATAAATCATGTTCTGTAATTATATCCTGCAATTCAATGAAAAATTATACAATACAAAGTCCTAACATTAAATCTTGTTAAGTTACATTACAAACAAAATCCTCAGAAACAATAAATTGAATATTTTACTAAAAATTTAAAGATCTAATAAATACACTGCAATATGCTTATAAAAAGATCATACCTTTTCTAAGTTACTCACTTTAGACTGCCATACTAATCTGTATGCATGACTCCAATTCAATTTTTGCATTACTCCCAAAACAGTAGCAGCTACTTCACCAGGGTAGGTGTCTCCTCTATTCACAGCCTTATTCGGGGAGGGAAAAAAGCCAGTACTTAATTATTGATATTTAATATGAACAGGCTGCTATCAAATTTTGCCGCATATTAATAGAATAGTTCATTTTTAATTCCATAATCCTTTCAGCTATATACATTATATTTGACAATATTTTAAAGCAAATACTTGTACATGTATCTTAAAGGTGTGCCCAAATCATTACGTAATATATTAGAAGAAAATAAAATATATGTTTTACTCATGAGTTTTTTGGAAATTTTACAGTTCCAGGGCAAATTAAACCTGATTAGTAGATAAATTATATTATATATATATAGTAGATATATATTATAATTAAAGAGAAAATATGCACTCCAATACATGTGACAGCAAAACGCTCTGCAATTTAAGCAAATTAAAAAGAGGGCTAAAAGAAAAGTTAATGAATACTTATCAAAAAGATACATAACCTAAAATATTGAGGAACCTAAATGAACATTTCTTTTGCAGTTTAAAGCAAATGAAACAAGATGTATCAATGATCAATAAATAACTGTTTTTATTATGAAATTAAAAAATAAATTCTGATCATTAATTTCTAAATATCAGAAAGAATACAAATATTCTTCTAAAACACCCTGGGGCTTGAGTGGGATACAAGCACCCTGGTGGTGGATAGCCAGATGTCCTGTATTATCTGACTGGAGAGCTTTGAATAATAAATAAGAAGCCATGGTGTTATGTGATCCATAACACCATGGCTTAACCCTGGTGTTATGTCCCCTCCCATAACCCTGGTGTTATGTGATCCATGCCTAGGGTTAATAACACTGTGGTTACAGTGGCTTAATGAAGCTTAAACGAAGCTTTATGCCAGGCGACTTCAACAGTATTTTGCCTTACCCAGCAACAGGCAATACTGGGTGGACATCCTCTGTACTTTCTTTTCCAGTTTATATATGGCTGAAAATGACAATATAATTCAAAATTCTGCTTTCGCAGGAAACACCTCTGAGGTAGACTTTTTTTCTCAAAACAAGGAAACCCACAGGAAATCAATTGAAAGAGCAGAAATGAATTCTTCATCGAGTGAGGTAGAAATGACCTCCTCTGAAGTTACTCAGTCAACATCTGGAAAAGGGCTATTAAAAGCATGACTGCCTCTCTAGATAAAATCAAAATGAGAATAACCAGAACACCAAAAAAGAAAAATGAAAAGAAATGTGCCTGAGAATTGAAAACTGTTCAAAGGAAAAGGTTAAAAAAAAGGCAATCTCAAAGGATGGAGAGGAATACAGCCCCAAAGACTGCCAAAAGAGACAAACATTAATGTTATACCTTTCAGGAAGGCTCTTACAGTGGTAAAGATGGCTGTAGTCATTGAGGGACATCCTGAAAAATGTTTATCAAAGAAACAGACTACTGACTTTGAACTTCTGATAACATTGACTACTTCAGGTATTCTCAATACTAAAAAAGAGTTACACCTGAGCTCTATTAAGGGGCTGTTAGACTTTATAGATGTTGAAATTTGCATTCCTTCTGTTCATGCCTGCACTGAGCAGGAAAGGTGAACTGCATAATTGCACAGTAGAATCCTCCCGACAGAGACGAAGGGTGTGTCTTCTCTCAGTTCTGATGTTGCTGAACACTGTGTTCTTCATGCTGTGAATATCTGACGTGTTTCTCGACTTGGCCAGTAGCTGTGATTCTCTCGAGCGTGGTGCAGCAATGTAATATGGAACAGTGCAATGGAAGACTACATTGTAATAGGAATCTAGCCAAGTATTCCAGATAACGTTTCTACATTGCCAAGTACCTGCCTGTCTGAATGAACTGTTAAGCAAGCTTAAATCATGTCGTACCAGTCGAGTACATTTGTAGGTTACCCATCGTATGATTTCACTAATGTGTCATAGTCTGACATGATATGTTCATCTATTTTGTTAAATGTTACATAAAGTCCCTGATTAAATCTTACGTTTTCAACTTTGTGCAGCTTGTACCTCTGCAGCCGTTTAACTTTCAAGGCCTTTTAAAGAACAAAAATTTTTAAAAAATAATAATAATAATAAATAAACAAAGTGGTTGACCTAAGCAAATGGAGCTAGGAAGCAATTGGGTTTGGTGCATTTGGCACAAAATGCTATTTAGCAGAGGTGCCTGATACCTGACAAACTCAGCCTGAAGAAGAAGAAGAATACAAGCAAAGTCTATGCAAATAGATTCAGTGATAAGACAAATTCAACAAAACAAAGCAGACAGACTCCAGAGCTCACTACCATGAATCGGCCTTAACAGCGCCTGTGGTGGCCAGTGGTCATGCAGCCAATACAAAAGTCCAACAGCCCAAGGAATCTTTTCTCACCAATAGGAGACTATTTGAAAACAGGGAAAGTTTACTGCTACACAGTGAAGTAACTACCAAAGTATTCGAGAGGGTTTATGTCTGAATGCCAATTTCTGGGAATTTTTAATGATATCCTAAACCCTGATTTCCATGATCATACTAATATTTTTTCAGTCATAAATAACACAGCACTGGTCATAAAGAGAAAATCAAGAAAAATACATTATAGTATAAAAATTAATTTTAAAAAATTCTGTTTTATTCAACTGTTTATTCCCTTCATTAAATTAATGCAAATCTTGAGCGGATCTCTATGAAGACTATACCAATGACAGCCGATCCACATTTTTAAAAACTTCAAGGGACCAAAAATTTGGTTTGCTATTTCTGGTCTCACGAGAAAAAGGAATCATCTTACAAAATAGTGTAAAAATTTATTAATGAATCATACAGAAAGTGTGACTAATATTGTCACATCTTCTAAAAGATGTTAATAGTAAATTTAATTAAATATACATATATATTAAACTTAATTACAATTATTCTTACCTATAATCACTTAATATTTTTTACTGCTTCTCAGTTACACCATACACTAAGAATTTTACATAGAAAATTAATTAACATAAATGTCATGGTTTAGACTTGTCCTACCAATTACACATTTCCATCTAAAATATACATTTACTATTGTGAATAAGCATCAGCCTTGAACAAAGTGCTGTCTGACAGCTCAACCAAAGAACCAAGTCTTAAAATCTTTGTCTTAAGGGGTGATTTAGTTCCAATGCGGTGACACTTTACGATCTCCTACACAGGCTCACATTAGTTTTCGGACACTTGTATTTTTTTTTAATTTACTTGCAAAGACCTTGTACAGTCAAAAGTCGTTAATCCGGACTCGTCGGGACTTCAGCGATTCCGGATTATCAATTTTTCCGGATTATAGATCATCAGTTTAAATCTGATCAGATGGCATGCAGAAATTATAAAATTAAAAATATGAAACGTAATTTATGAAATAAAGAACAATTATGATCTAAATGGTATCAAAATTTACAAAAAAAAAAAAAAAAAAAGCTTAATATTTATTTCTTTACTTTATTAAACATTTCTTTCAATGTAAGTTGTTTAAGTTGCTTCGTTTTTTATGTGATAATACATTCTCTTTAATTTTATAAACAGACATAATTTCTTGTTCAGTTACAAAGTTCAAGTCCTATAATTGCTGTGTTGAGAATACCGACTAATTTGTCAATCGAAATTTTTTCATTTTCAATAACCTCTGTCACTTTCTTCGCTATCGGAAGCGAATTTTAATGACGAGGCATTTGATTTAAATCATATCAAAGACGGAGTACATCGAGATGAAATACTACATTTAGTAAGGAATTATAAGCCAAATAAAATAAAAACACCTGCCCCGAAGATAAGGATAGTACTGACAGATCAACTTCCAATTCATTGCGCGCGCGGCATTAACGATAAACAAAGTTTAGATAAACAAACGTTACGGTTTAGATAAACAAAGGATATGCCTTTATCCATTTTTTGCAGCAATTCCACTTTTTGTTTAATGGACTTTGAAACATACTTTCGCTTTGTATATCCTTTACATATTAGTAAATATATATCAGAAATTCTATTTGACATAATCGAAAGTTCAAGCTTACTTTTATAAAATTGCTCTAACAGTCTGCAAAAAATAATAAGCCAAATCCAATCCGAAGATTAAGGAACAACGCAATCTGCAACATTAACTGAATTAGATAATTTTAGCTTAGCTTATACCGTCCGTTATACATTAAACGCGCATTCGTAAACATATTTTGTGCACACATATTCGCAGCCGTAAAGGTCTTACGCGCATACGCATGCACAGAAATTTTGCAGCTTTGAGGTCTGAATAATGGGTGTCCGAATTAACGACTTTTGACTGTACTAAATATTGAAATAGAGACTTTTTCTAATATAGTGGAGCGCTGTTTATATGCATTTCAAGGGACTACTCATAAACAATGAATAAATGAGAAAGATATAAATGAAATTTTAATTTACGATATAAAACATATATATACAGTCAAAAGTCGTTAATCCGGACTCCTCGGGACTTCGGCGATTCCGGATTATCGATTTTTCCGGATTATAGATCATCAGTTTAAATCGGGTAAGATGGCATGCAGAAATTACAAAATTAAAAATATGAAACCGTAATTTATGAAATAAAGAACAATTATGATCTAAAGGGTATCAAAATTTACAAAAAGAAAAAGCTTAATATTTATTTGTTTACTTTATTAAACATTTCCTTCAATGTAAGTTGCTTCGTTTCATGTGATAATACTTTCTCTTTAATTCTATTAAACAGACATAATTTCTTGTTTAGTTACAAAGTTCCGCTGTTCCAGTCCTATAATTGCTGTGTTTGAGAATACCGACTAATTTGTCAATCGAAATGTTTTCGTTTTCAATAACCTCTGGGTCACTTTCTTCACTATCGGAAGCGAATTATAATGACGAGGAACTTGATTTAAATCATATCAAAGACGGACTACATCGAAATGAAATACTACACTTAGTACAGAATTATAAACTAAATAAAATAAAAACATCTGCCCTGAAGATAAGGATAGTGCTGACAGATTAACTTCCAAACCGCCGCGTGAAATTGATAAACAGATTTCGGATTTC